GCCCCCCCAAGACGGCAAAACAAAGCTTGAAAGCGGCCCTAGGAGAGGCCCAAGAGGGGGAACCCGCAGCGGCCCTGCCTTGTCCTTCTCCTCCTCCTCCTCCTCCTCCTCCTCCTCCTCCTTCTCCTCCTCCTCCTCCTCCTCCTCCTCCTCCTCCTCTCCGGCTTCAGGGGGGCGGTCTGTGGTGCGGCGGCGGCCCCTGCCGGGCTCATGGGGTGTCTTAGAGAAATTGGAATCGCGAGAGAGCAAGAACACGAACACCCTTGAAACGTCCACTGGGAATCACTATTTGTTGCCTCTTGGTGCCTTCGGCCCATGCCGCCACCGTTCCTGGATTGTGGGTTAGGCCTCTTGGAAGTTCGTTGGGAAATAGTGCAAGGCCTCTCCAAGGCCTTTTGGAAGCAGCTTTGAAGCCTCCGGGGGGGGGGGGGGGCGCTTTGTAGCCTCTTGGGGCCTCTTTTGGACCTCCTGGGGACCTCTTTGGGGCCTCTTGGAGCCTCCTGGGGGACTCGTGGGGCGGAAGGCTCGAACTGGCGGTTCGCGTTCTCCCTTTTGGGCACCTCTCGAGGCCGTCCTGAAGCCCTCTTGGGCCGTCTTGGACGCTTCTTGGGCCGTGTTGGGGCCCTCTTGTTTGGGGGATTCGTTGGGGGCCTCTTGGGCCCTCTTTTTTTGTGGCCACCGCCGTTGCTGTAACCACCGTTGCTCTTCTATCCATTTTTGTCTCTTGTCTGTCTTCTTCCTTCCCGTCCCCGTCCCCTCTTGCATCGGTGCGCTTGTAATCATATTGTCTCAGGGGCAGTCGCAGTTGGAAGTCCCAGGAAAAATACTTGCTGAGCTCTTCTCTCAGCCCAGCACGGCGATCGGACCTCTCCGCTCCCGTGCAGATCCGTATATCGCACACTCTTACTTTCATACTTTCAGTTCGTTTGTATCTCCATCCTGTTCAATATTGTTTCGATTTCTTCTTGCTGGTTCTTACTGCAGTCCGGCATCACAGGGCAGATGGCGGCTCGCAATCCCTTCGTGCAGGCGCAGCAGTGGGCCGACCAATCCTCTGGGAAGGGCAAAGGGTATATGCAACAGCAGCCTGCGCCGGTCTTCATCGGAGGAGGAAAAGGTGCTAGTTGGTCTTCTCCGTCATGGGAGGCAGCCATGCGCGTAATTCCTCGTGATGTCGTCGACCTCCGGGGTGTCACCGAGAACTCCGACGGCAGCCGTCTCCGCTTCGCCGATGATCCGAACGTGGAGATTACGACGATTGCTACCAATGACATCGGCGCCACGGATGCGCTGCAGAAGGAGAAGATCATGGTTACATTTCTCAAGGCCTGTGACGACTTCAAGGTGGCCCAAGAAAGGGCGCGCGAGTTGCGCAGCCTTGTGCCGTCACATTTGTCGGATGAACAATGGCAGCAATGGGTAACCGGAGTTAAGCTCGTCAACTCCACCCTCAGGGTCCCAGAGAAAGACTTCGTCGCGCCACATTTGCGCCCATCCACCCCGGATCTGAAGTCGCTCCTACAGGGTGCTGCGTCCGGCTCCGACTTGTCGATGGGCACGTTGTTGGGCTTGCTGCAGAACCAGCTTAACGTGTCTGGCAGCGCTTCGAGCCAGCCGCAGGCAGCCAAGATGGAATCGCCACGTCCGGCTTCATCTGTGCTGGGGTTCGAATTCAAGGCCCAGTTGGGGGACAACGAGGTCGGCGGGAAGGTTGTGAGCATGGAGCTGCAGGGCACCATCCCCATGTATAAGGTGAAGTGGGACAACGGGACGAAGACCCTCCTGACCCAGGAACAGCTCTTCCCGTACATGGAGTCGGCCAAGATATCCCCCGAGAAGAAGCGGGCGAGACCGGATGCGCCAGCAGCGCCGGCGGATTTGGCTGCTTGGGAAGCTGCTGCGAAAATGACGGTGGATAGCCATCCCACTAAGAAGTGAAGGAGCAATCACGATATGGGCTCCGTCGGTAACTTCTGGCAAGTACATCTCGGTAACCGGCCAGATGTTGCAAAGGCGGCTTCCTGTCTTCATTTGGACTTGTGTCGCGGATGTGGTTGGCAGGGCAACTCTTCGTGTTGCTGCGATTCAGACTTCGTCGGTCTGTCCAACTCGTGGGCAATGAGTTCTGCAGACACGTCATGTTGTTCGCACGCGTGTACTCATGCTGCCATATTACGATTGGTGCGCAGTTTCCTCAGAGCTTCTCATGCTGCCGTTCGCCGGCCGCCGGGGTACCAGAGTGTCCAGGCTTTACATAACATCGACAAGCATATCAAAGTGCTGGTAGAGAATTTAGGCGTGCGCAGGTATGCGGGCACTCATTGTTCAACCTGCCGGTGCGACAGATTACATTGTTGCTGCAATTCATCATTGCCGTCCTGCAACCTCACTTCTCGCTCCTGTTCCTACTTCCTCATCATCACCAATTACATCCGCACCATCATCTGCCTGCGCGTCCTGCAGATCAGCGATTTTGCGTGGCACCGGAAATTACACCAGTTCTTGTTGAGGTCAACAGAGATGGTGTCGGCAAGTAGGCGCGGCTACAACTCCGAGGGCCAGATTGTCTACATATGGTTCTCGGCGCACCACGCGTACACATACATCGGGAAGTCCGTGCGGGGTTTGGGGGCACGCACCGTTGAGCACTATGCGCAGATCCTGGGGCAGAAGGGGTACAAGAAATATTTACCTGCTTATGATGTTATGCGTCGTCTTGGTTGGTCGTCGTTTATTGTGTGTCCTGTTGTATGTCTACAGCGATCTAACGATCTAGAACTTCAATATGTTGAACGACAATTATGCAGCACATTGAACCCCAAGCTCAACACGCCCTGGGTGTATAAGTATACATGTAAAGCGCCTGTGCACAAACATTGTCATAGTCATGTATTTCGCAGTGTACACACTCGTCCTCGTGATCCTTATCGTCATCTTCCTCGCTCTCTCCACCGTGCACATTTTGTGGGCAGCGTGGTACGTACTGCAGAGGACTTGGGTTGCCAGCCAGGCCAGCTTGCTCAGCGTTGCGCGCACGGCCGGATCCACCTGGGTATTCTTGCTCTCAGATTGGGGGACACGCGGGCGAAAGGCAAGAACGTCGCAAAATGTGTGCAGAAGCTATACGACCGTTCACCGGGCCTCATTCACAGGCTACACAACGTCATCGATTCGCTCTTGCACGGCATCCCTAAGTTCGTGGCGAAATCACGCATTTCAGAAGTTTTAACGCAGACCGCGGCTCCATCCACCACTGTTCTCCTCCGTTTTCCTCTTCTTCCTGGAATGGATGTTGAACGTCTGATGGTAGATAACGTACGAGAAGATATTGCGTGTGCTCTGCCTCCTAAAGCTCGTCTTACTCTGCTTACTAAGCCTATCAAGTCTCCTACTATTAAGTCTTGTATGGTTAACGTCAAATGGTGGGCAAAACGTATTTCAGAGTATGATTTTCCATGCACGTGTGGGTCGTTGCGCAGTATGTTGGGGGAGGACGAGGGGAACGTTGGGAAGGCACACTATTGTATTCGGTCTAGTTCTAGCTCGTTCGCACAAGCCTTTCCTCGCACATTCTCTGCGGAAAGCGGCCTGGTCTGGAGCCGGCAGAGTTTCTTACGTCAGTGTTCTGCTTCCTTCCAACACCTCGCAGACCGGGTACGCGCCATCATTCGCGGGCCGTTCGTCTTGGAAATGCACAAGTTCTGGGCGACCATCAATAGTAGATTTTCTTCGCAATCGCACTTCCGAGGCACGGGGGCCCTGGAAGGGGACATGATGCGGTGGCGATCAATGCTGAGCGACATTGCAGTGATTGGCCCAGTGGACAAAAACAAATCGATCATATCATTTTGTTGTCCCCGTGGATGGCAGAATCGCTGCTTCAATTTAGCAATACTTCATGGCAATGCGGTCTTCGACTATCCCGGGGTGCGTGCATTCGAGAAGGCCCTCGACGCGCTGCAGTCAAACACAGCCTATTCCGGAGTACGTGTCATTCCTCCTGACCGGCATGTTTTCGGAGTTTTTCAAGGGTGGGTAAAAGAGAGCGGCATTCACACCAAAATGAGACCGTTGGGTTCGTATTGTACACATGCGTGCAAGCCATTGTACTCATTAGCATGTCGTGTTCTTAACCACATGGTATGTAAACTGGGTGGTCATCATGCTGTGCACGACGTTTTCTCCGTTGTTGATAAGTTTCACAACATGAACGTGAGCACGCACGACCGGGCTAGGAGGGGATGGGTTGGTCACGCGCACACGTGCAAGCGGGACATTGAGTCTTTCTTCAACAATGTGGACCGTGGCCTCATACTGGCTGCATGGCGTTGGTGTTTGTCCGAGTGGGTGGCTCGCTTCGGCTCTCGCAGGAAGGTGGTGTGTATCCCAAGGGAACGTGCTCTCCATTTTCGGCGTCAGCGTTCTGTGTCGTCTCGTTCGTTCCACGGGTTCTCGCGGAATATAATGCCTGCAAAGAGTGACCGGTCCATCCCTCGTGTCCAGCAAGCACGCGTGGCTACACAGGATCACTTTGTCTTGCACGTTGACGACATGGATGGTGCTCTTCATTTCGATATGTTGTGGGGGTATTTGTATTTTGGGACCGTTCTCTTCCGCCCTGCAAACGGAATGACTCAAGGATCGCCACTGTCACCGGGGGTCTGCTCGCTGGTGTGCTGCTATCTCGAGAACTTGTGTTCTTCGGTGCCACCGAGTGTACCCGGCATCCACATGGACCGCGTCGTGTGCAGGTGGGTGGACGACATTTTCATATGCATGATTGTTTGGTTGCTGGCAAAGAACCCGGGCCTGGCAGCTGATGTGGCTGACCGCCATGTCCATGTGTTCGAGTCGACATACAATCTGCTGGGTCGTTTGAAGATTGAGGACGAATCGACTTTCGCAGGCTTTCGTGTCGTTATTCGGGAAGGTCGTCTTCTGAGCACGCACGTGTTGAATGTAAATGACCATGAGCTGTGCACGCGTGGTGATGTAATCCGCCCTAGGTTCCAGCATTTTCTGTCCAATGCACCTATAGCACGCAAGGCCGCTCTGGTACGCTCTCAATTCATCGCGTGTGTAGACAGGTACATGTATGTAGATTTTAGCTTGCTTGCACATGACATTAGCACACTGTATGCTGAGTTCCGTGCCCTGCAATACCCCAATGTTTTCCTGAATCGAATTCTGCACAGGTTTCTCCGGGAGCATCCGTACTTAGGTCACTCATTCTCGCATGTCTTGCTGCACGTCAGTCGTCCCGGGTACCCCGATAGTGAAGCCGCCAATTCTTCCGCCTCCCCCGCTAGAGCTGGAGACGAGCCGGCTGATTTCGAGGGTGCTCAGGGTCGATTGCTCCGTGCTTGTTCTATACGGCGAGAGTAAAGACTGTGACCACCGTTGCTCTTCTATCCATTTTTGTCTCTTGTCTGTCTTCTTCCTTCCCGTCCCCGTCCCCTCTTGCATCGGTGCGCTTGTAATCATATTGGCTCAGGGGCAGTCGCAGTTGGAAGTCCCAGGAAAAATACTTGCTGAGCTCTTCTCTCTCTCCTCTTTGGGAGAGGGGTAGGGGTAGGGTTCGCATGTGGCCCCCTAGTTCTAAAACCAAGAGAATTCGACCCGGATGGTCAAAATGGGCGAACTCAAACGGGGCGAATCGAAACATATCGAAGCCGGGCGAATGAAAAATGGGCGATTCAAAACCGGGCGAATTACAGCCAGGCGAGAAATCAAACTCGACGAATCCAAACCAGGCGAAATAAACCACATTCATTCAAACCCAGGCGACTGTTTAATCGGATGCGTTTTAATTCGGGTGATTCGAAATCGGATGACTCGAAAGCAGGGGCGGGATTCGGATTCTTAAAGGTTCAAATCCGCCGACCCCCGCTTGCTGGGGGTGGAAAGGCGTGTGAGAAATTTGGCTGTCCCCCTCCCCCTTCCCCCTACCCAAGGATCCAAAATCCGGTGCTGCGGGGGGGTGCGGGGGGCACGAGCTCGTCAACGCACACCGGGGGCTCTCTGGAGCGCCGCAAAGGAGCCTAAAAGGTCCCAAACAGAGCGCCGAGCCAGTCCAAGAGAGCGGCGAGTCGGCCCAGGGTAACCCCGCGACGGTCGCCCACGAAGCCCCCAGGACGGCATAAGAGTGCTCCCAGAGGACCGCCGAGAGGGCCACAAGACGCAGAAATCTTGTCCCCCCCCTTGGGACAATCTACTTGCTCGAAATAATCACTCGCCGTTCTCGTCTTGACAGCGTCCAGCACGGCCCGGGGAGCCTCCAAGAGCGCACCATGACGGCCCACTGAGGCCCCCGCGGTGGCCCGAAGACGACCCAAGACAGCCCCGAGAGGGCCCCAAGACGGCCCCAGGGGCCCCTGATTCGGCCCACGAGGGCTCCAAGGCGCCCCCGAAAGGCCCCCAAGAGGCGTCCACGAGGCCCCCCAAAGGCTCCCCCAAAGCCCCCGAGTGGGCACCAAGAAGCCAGACAGGTGCCCCACAAAGCCCTCCAGGCCCCTGAGCGTTGGACCCTCGCGGGCGTGAAAAAAGCAGCCAGCCGTTGTAGCTACAGCATAGCCCACCGAACGCCCTTGACGTCTCTACTCCGTTGGGGGTTGGAGGAATAGCGCAAGCCACTTGAACACTTAGGGGCGAGCCCCGATTGGAAAAGGAGATCGCCAAGCGAATTGGGAGCACCGCGGCAGCCAACCCGCAGCAGGCGAGCCCACGCGTTGAAGTGCGGTCAAACTGCTGCACGTGTAACCTTCACATCCGCGCTAACGTGTCCAAGCCACAGCGCACTTCCCTTGGCCCAGTGAGGAAGCTGGGGTGGGAAGAGCTGATACATTTCACATCATGCCTCGCATTTCGTTTGCGGATTGATTGCAACATGCTGCCATATGGACGTGTGTCCGTACTTCTCTGAACTGCGCTGGTTTCGACGGTGCTGTACCTTTTGCATCGTGACTACATGCCAGATCAACATGATGGTGTCATAGCAATGAGCCCAATCGAGGTAGTATCAACTGAATCGTGTTAGCAACCATGGTTACGCTCGCAATTCTAACGCGACACATGAGTACTCTAAACGATTGTCCCCATCTCCACCATGGCCGAGGCAAACTCGCCCCTGATACGTGCTGTGCCAGCCCAGACCATTCCACGGCCATCGAGACGCCCCTCCCCTTCCCTACATCCCTCTCTCCCCTCTCCTCCTCGTCCACCACCTATATCATGCTCCCCCGACTCCTCTTCATCCTCCTGATCAATATCCTCCTCCTCCTCCTCCTCCTCCTCCTCCTCCTCCTCCTCCTCCTCCTCCTCTTCCTCATCCCACTCTAATCACGATCCTGGCGCCGGAGCGACGCTGAGGGCTGCGCCTTCTCTAAGGCTTGCATCGTCGCTTGCCTGACGGCGCCGTCGGTGTTCCTGGCACCAGCTCGGGAGGAGCAGCAGCAGCAGCAGGAAGAGAACACTGTGTATGCATCTAGATAAATATATGAGTTCGTACCTCCGTGCTGTATACACGTATGTGATTATGTATGTGTACATGTATGTATGTATGTGTGTATGTATGTATGTATGTATGTATGTATGTATGTATATGTATGGTACATATATGCATAGATATACATATCTATGTCTGCGCATGTGTATATATATATATGTGATGTAGGTACGCGTGTGAGTGTGTGTTCACATATACACGTATGGACATGTGTATTCCAGTTTCTAATGCTTGTACCATCCACCAAAGGGGGGGGGTGAGGAGCTGAACCACCTCTCGGCCCCCGCCCCTCCAAGCCAGAACCCATGGATCCATGTGGGCCCCGCGCGCCTCCCGGACGCCCCCGCACTCGGTTCCCTGAAGCTTCCCGACGTCCTCGACGCCCCCTGCTTGACATTGCGGTCGCATCCACGACCGCTCATGACGCCCGAAGAAGGCTCCAAGACAACCCTCTGGAGGCCACAACAAAAATAGCAACTTCCCTTCGATTCCTGCGCATGTTGCTCAGAGCCCATGGCACATCACACTTGGCCCTGCGCCGTCGACTTCCAGGTGCCTGCAGAAGGCTCTCGGGCCCCAGGGCCGAATTCGCCCCAGTCCGCCCGAACCGAGTCGCAGCCTCAAAGGGGATGCCACACTAAACCACCAAAGAGGACACCCAAATACAACAACTAACACTCCAAAATCAGGAAAGAGCGTCCCAAAGTCCCCGCAAGGCGCCCAACACTGATAAAGCAATCAAGCATGTATCCGAAGCACGTCCTCGACCAACGCCAAGCCATGAAACGATAAGGATTTCCAGGTGTTATTGTTCAAGCCAGCACCAAGCGTCCAGAAGTCTCGAAAGTGCGCCCAGATGTCGGCTGAAAGGCACAGAACACATGGCAATCACGCAAAATTGTCCGATGTAGTTTGCTGATGTTGGAAACCGATGCATGCCCCCGATCACCTCCCAACCATGAAAGATGTTGGTGCTCAAAGCTATAGCCGCTCCCCAAAACTAGGCTGGCGGGAATCGTAAAGCGAACACACATCCACTCAAACGTTGCGTTGCTAGACGGCAGGCATGCTGGACAGTCAAAAGTGAAGACACACTTGAAGCAACACAAACAAAGCAGGGCTTGCTGACGGTTTTCAGTATGCCATGATGGAAAACAGGATTAATGTTGAGACTTGTTCAAGCTTGGCCACGTGTCATACATGAAAACCAACTACATCATGCAACGGCAACACTTCGCATTACGATCTGAACGGGTTTTCGCTCCGAGGCCATCACCAACGCCAGGGCTCTCCCTGGCGCTGCCAAGATGCCCTCGAGTCCATCTAAGGACCATCCAGGATGTCCCGAGCTGACCCTAGCATACAGTCGAGGCACTACCAGAGGGAACGCCGCATGAGGAACGAAGGGGCTGTTCTGGCCACGGCAGGCCCAGGCCACAAGCAAATCCCGCGACATACATCTAAGAAACCACCCACATCCCCGCGCCCCTTCCGAACCCAAAGCGGTCCTCATTTCAGCGTCTTGGCTGCACGACGCCCAACACCCTCCAAAGCATCCAAGATGCAATCCGGACGCGCCAGTAGGGGGCCACACGCGAACCCTACCCCTGCCCCCCCACGATTTCTGAGTGAACCCACCCTCCCCTCAGAAATCGTGGGGGGTAGGGGTAGGGTTCGCATGTGGCCCCCTAGTCAGGGCCTGCCGAGGAGAGGCCCCGCGTCCCTCCCAGATGCTCCCAAAACCTCCCCGAGGGCCTCCAAGCAATGCAAACCGCTGCGCAGGCTGCACGTCAAGAGTCGGCTCCGCCTGGCGTCGTGTGGTGCTGAAGTGGTTTCCTGAAGAGGCCCAAGGACACACAAATAAATACACACAAATAACAGGACCCCCTATATTTTTACATATTTGTGGGGTTTCGTTTTCCCCCTCACTTCCCATATTTTTCAATATTTTCTGGGGAATCGACGATTCATTGTCTCTGTGTGTTTCTTTCCCTCCTGACATGTGTGGCACTTGCTGTTATGCTCGTTCCCCTGCTGCAGCACTGGTGGACTTCGCGCATCCGCCATCTTCGCTGGGCCACCTTCCCCAGTGGGTACGGCAATCGCCACAGAGCGGTCTCGATAGCCTGGAAATTTATACACACAAACCGTGTCTGCGCACGAGGCACTGAACACGAAGCCATTCGCTGGCTCTGGACCTGACTTCAAACACATTGGGATCAGCAGGGAGGGCAAAAGAGGCCAACACGAACATATGTCCATAAAATATGGGCACGCATGAAATTTAAACGACAAGCGCAGGCATGCGAGGCCAGGCGTGAGATAGAAACGGGAGTATGCTTAAAACCGCCTCGAAACCGAACATGCTTCTCCAAATTTCCAAGTGGATTCTTAATGCCACGCCGGGTGCTCATTGTCCACTGAAGGCGACGCAAACATATGAGCACCTGTCAGCATAGAAGGCACCTGACACCCGCAAAGAGCAGCATCAGAAAAATAGAAGTGTCCGACTCGAGGTTGGCCGCAACAGCGAAGCAATTCCAGCCACAACGGTGCCCGAACCTTCGCTTCATAGAAATTTCTGCCCTTGCAGCAAACTCGTCGGTCTTGTCCGTAATCTGGTGGGCAACCTTATCCTCGGAACTGCCAGCGACATCAACGATCACTATATCAGAAGTGCTCCAGAACCGAAGGTCGCAAGCAAAGTTAAGTATTGTCCTCCCGCTCCGCGACTGTTGGGTGGGTCAGCGTCGACCTCCGCACGTTGGACTATTCTTTCATGTGTACACGAGACTTTGACAAGGCCGCACGTCGGTGTCGAGCCCCTCGGCAAACAATAGACCCTCTTTCGCGGGCATTGCACTTGAAGCCGACGCATTTTCATGGGATTTTCCTTTTCGAATGCGAGCAATAGTAGCCACAACCTGTCAACAGCCATGGCGGTGTGTTAGCTGCAATTGGACATTGCATTGGGCCTTGTCCCCACGTGAGCACCCACGGTGCAGGCTGACGCGATTTCGGATGGCGCGGGATGCCGGCCTTTCTCCTCCCTGTTCGCTTTGTCCCTCCCCCGCTCGCTTCCCCCCCCCCATGGCGGCAGCGCCCGGCACAGCGCGGCTTCGGCCCGGTGCTGGGCACTGCACCTCGGCGGCCCCGCCTGCCTTGGGCAGCGCGGCTCAGGCCCGGCCCTCGACCATGCGGTCGTCAGCGCATCGTGTCTGGCACCCGCCCGTCTTCACGCGCTGACTGTGCAGGTCAAGTTTCTTCCCTGCACACCACCGACATCCAGTCGGACATGGACGGCCCTGTCTCTGGGCGCACCTCTTGCTGGCTGCCCCCTGGACGTGGATTGGACTACCACCCCAGGCCGCTTCCGACCAACCGGTGGCACAACGCTGCACATCGCCTTCGTGGTCCGCCTCTTCTCCTGGGCCCCTCCTCACCATCCGGTGGCACAACGTTGCTCATCGCCTTCATAGTGGACTTCGTCTCCCTGGACGTCGACCTGGTCGCGTTCATCCTCACGCAGCACTTGAAGATGGTGTTTACGATTATGACGTCCTCCGTCCTCTACAGCGGTGGAGGAGAGTACAAAGAGGGAAAGCTGTTTTCAAATTGGCTAAAACTTGCTATTGCGAAAACAACATAAGTTGTTTTAAGTTAACATATGTGTTTGTTTTGTTTTTTATGTTTTATATATATATAATGAAAAAAACACAAACAAAATGCCGCAGGCATCGCTTCGGGAAAACGCGCGCTGCGTCCGTTGAGCATGCGGAAGCGGGCCTACGGGCCGCGACCTCGGCAACGCCAATCAGCAAGAGAAGCAGCGGGAGAAACAGGGCGTGCCGCCCCGCCCGAACGAATACTGACTCGACTCCTCGCGGGGGGATGGCAAGTCCCACGGAAAAACGCGATCACCGCAAAGGGCAGCGTGGACAAAACAAATGTGACACAGGCCGCCGCGGACGCGCTGCTACAACAGCACGCGCGGCACGCCTGCGTTATTTGGGCGGGCGGGGCGGCATCTGGAAACCCGACGGGGGGACCGAGCGACTCGCTGTAAGACCCAGCGGGCCCAAAGTGAACACTGGGGAATCCATCGGACTCGAACGCACAGTTGGAAAACCCAGCGGCCCCGAAACAACGCATGGGAAATCCAGCGGCCCCAGACGGGCCCCTGGAAACATGGCGGGCCCGCGCAGACAACTGGCAAACCCATCGGGCGCAGCCCTGGATGCTTCTCGAGAGAGGGCTGGCGCGTTCCAGAGCGGCCCAAATGTGGCATCAGGAGGGCCCTAGTACATCCCCGATGCAGCCCCCAGAAATACCCCCGTGGGCCCGTTTCTTTCACTGCTCCCGAAAACCGCACGGTTCAAAACGGGTGGCCTTCTTGAGGCCACTCCGGGACTCTACTGGGGATATCCCAGGGCCCTATTGATGCCACCTTTGGGCCACCAGTCGTCATCGTGCTCCTGCTGCTCCTCCTTCTCATCCTCATCACCATGGCCCCTTTCTCCTAATCGTGATCCTCGTCGTCGTCATCCTCCACATCCAACCGCCCCCTATAGATAGCGCAGCCGCGCTGGCAGCCGCCATCCTCAATGGTCGACGTTCGCGATGGCGTCCATATAACTCTGTAGAGCGGGCACCGCGGTGACGGGAGGGTCGAGGGCGCTCAGCTCTTTGGATAGCTTAACCACGAATTTGTGCATTGACATCTTGTGGCTCCCGAATTTGCCGCAGCCGATCATGAGCTTCGCCTCGGCGATAGCCGTGCTCCCCGAACAGATGCAGCCCATGAACTCGCCTGAACCCTTCAAGAGCTCCTCGACTTTGGGTTGTCGGCCGAAGGTCTCGAGCGCGATGAGGAGATCGCGCCGCGGCGACTTGAGCTGCATCGCCTGCGCCTCCAACTCGTCACCCTTAATCATCGGCAACGTCTTCTTGCAAAGCTTGTAAACTGCACCTGTGCTGTCAGCAGGCTTGGCGCCCT